GTGACTGCTTTTCACTGCACCACAATCACCATTTACACGCTATAACTCAAAAATAAATGACCTAGCGTCAACTCCGTTATTATTAGAGAAGCAGAGCGTTGCAAAGAAAACAGTCGTGATAGCTGGTTACCTCTGGGTTTAGCTTTTGCTCCTGTCCTCTGTGTCGTGGCTCAGCCGTAGCGAACCCAGGGATGTCCGGCAGTTCAGGAGCATCCACAAGGATCCCAAAGCCTTTTGAGAAATGCAGCGGCTGCGCCTCGCTCCCTCGCCCGTGGACGGCATGCCTGGTTCTGGGGTGGGACGAAGCAGCCCCTTACCAGCAATCATTCAGCAAAGCCATGCAATAGGTTAGGACAGGGAACGAAGACAGTTCTCATTCGGTTTCTGCGTATAGCACTGTGAATCAGCGATCACTCCGTGGGATCCTGCCCGGCACGCCGGGGAGGTTTCGGAAAGCAGGGCACGATGTCTCCCGTGCTTTCGGAGGGGTTCGTGCTTGGTGGAATCAAGCGCCTGGTCCTTCCCAGCAGGGGCGGCGAGGCGGCCTGTTTGCTCTTTCATTTTTGTTTTACCTCATTTTTTTTGGTTTTGATACTTGAAGAAGAGTCAGTGATTGACATTTGTACAGTGATGCCCTGGACTGGAGAGTGGATGCACTTTATAGTAACTTGTATACGGATAGTGGGGTCCCATCCTGCCTCTGCCGAGCCCGCAGCAAGGTTTCCTTGGTGTCAGCACCGGCAGGAGCAGAGCCAGGATGGGCTGGTTCTTCCAAAAACCTTTCTAGGATGTTAGGGAGCAATCTCTGTATTTTATTGTGGGTTTTCACGTACCGTAGAAACTCCGAGTCACGTTCTGCTGTCAGTTGACCTGGTGGAAAATTCAGCCATAATTGTGCTGGGCTGACTTCGGTTTTGCCCGTGTCGTGACGACTGGAGACGGTGGAGGTTGGGCAGCTCCTGCCTTTACTTCCCAGTAACACCAGTTTTAGTGGGGTTACTCTACTGGAATCTGAAGTCGTTTCAGCCCTGGCAGGCTGCGGCGTTACCGCTGGATCCACTCCAGCGTCGCCTCGGGGCTGCTAATGGAGCAAATTGAAAGTCACCCCCGCTAAAGTGACACTAATATAAAATCTGGAGTTGTTCCACTGGTGTCTGTGCAGGGATAAAACAAATGAAGTCCCCCCCCGACGGTGGCACCAGTTTACCAGGCAGCTGACGGCGGAATGTGTTTTCTGGTCTTGCGATGATGCTTTTGAAATAACTTGCAGAGAAACGGAGCGGCGAGACAGAGCAGCGCTTCGTGGCTACGGAGATCTTCTCTTGGCTCCCAGGAGCTGGGACGGAGAGACACGGTCGCAGGCTGCTTTGCTTGTCTGTGAAATGATCAGCAGGGGTTTTTTTCCTTATGAATTCTGTTCAAGAAAATCATAAAAAAAAGGGGGAAGAAAAAAAAAATCAGGGGCCAGATCCTGTTTTGCAATTGAGGATTTGCTCCTGGGTTAAAAGCCCTGTTAAGCAAACATGAAAGGCAGTGGGCATGAGCGCTGACGAACCCCAAGCTAGGAGATCTGGTCGAGCCGTGGCCGCTGCAGAGCCCGCTCACGCTGCCGAGCCGACTCTGATCCCAGCCCCAGGCGAGCCAGGGAAATCCCCAGGGATGCCCAGAGCAGCACCCTCGGGAGCCGTGGGGGCTGCAGAGGTTTTCCTCTGGCTCTGCCCCGGTATCAAAGAGATCCAGGCTCCAGCTTGCTGCCGTTGGGACTCTGGCAAAGCAGCTCCGGTGGGATTTCCCATGTAAGATGGGAGCTAAACCAAAACCCAAGCCACCGGGGACCATCAGTAGCCGATCTCGGCGATACCCACGCAGCGGCAGGGGCTTTTTTTTTTTCCGCCAGCCCTTCGTGGCTTTTGCCCGACCCGTACCACGTTCGCTTTCTCTCGTCCTCGCTCAAAAAAAAACCCGCTGTACAAGTTTGTGTGTATCCGCTTTCCCACGGATCCGGGTGTTATCACACGGTTCTACTCCACGGTACGACCAACCTCGCGCTGAGCCAGCTAGCCACAGAGTTGCCCGGTGTTAGCCCGGCCGTCCTGACTGTGTGGCCCTTCCATTTAAAGTCCATTCCCTATTATATTGTGTTTGCTTTGGGTTTTGTTGTTTTGGTTTTGTTTTGTTTTGTTTTTTCTCTTTTCTTTTAACGTCATAGGAAACCTGTAATCGGGATTGTTACTATTGGAAACCCGATCACATGTTCCATCCAGGTATTTTCATCTCTCCGGCATTACGCAAAAATAAAGGCCTGAGAGAGAGATATAACCGAACATAGAAGTAGAGTTAGGCTCGTTGTCTGAGTTTTGAGGCATATAGTATAAGGGGAGAAGGAAAAAAATTAAAATAAAATAAAAAATTAAAATAATGATGTTGCACAACTTGTAGAAAACAAAGAAGGGAAAGGGTTAATGTATTAAATGTGCTAAATTACATTAAGAACTTAATTTTATTAAAGTATTATTACTTAAGAAACTTGATGGCTGCTCT